CTTCCCCCTCCTCCCCAACTTGGCCCTGGCCCTCCGACCCTGATCATGCTCTGTCTCCACGCTCCCCAAGGAGCCTAGCGTTTATAATTTGGAGAGAGATTATAAATAGTGGCTGACCAGCCCTGGGCGCAGCAGGGAAGCCAGAACTGTGACCTGCCCCTGTTCCCGCCCCCCAGGGGCCTTTGGGAGTGAGGAGAAGCCCCGGAGGAGAGATTGCTATCACCCCGGGCCCTGGGAGGTCCCTAGCGTGGGTGCTGGTGGCAGGGAGCGGTTCCTCCTCCTCTTCCCACCATTTTCTCTTCAGGTATTTGGCCTCTTTGGTTTCCCTGATCTCCTGGCCACACCTGTTCCTGGATACCCAAGATGAGCACACGTGGTCCCCACACACACTCTCCCCAAAACACTTCATGGGTTACAAGTTTCTGCTTATAAAGGACTGTTATGAAACTGACCAGTTTTCATGAAACTGTTTAAATCACATAACCTCCAGTGGCCAAAGCCCTCCTCGGAGCAGAGGATCCAAGTCAGCATGTGGTTTCCCAGCTTCAAAAAGAGCTGGACAAGGGCCTGGACCACTGGACGACTCCCGCCACTCTTTATCCCCTCCCCTCTCCCCAGCAGCGTGGGGCTTGGAAACGGCCCCTCTTACCCTTCCCTCAGTCTTGGGGCCTCAGGTGTGGCTCCGGGACCAGGGGTGCAGCACAGAGCATCAGTCCCTCCCCAGCTGAACACGTGTACTGCAAGCGTGTGCATCTTGCAGGATTCATGCAATTCTCAAAGGATCTGAGGTCTCAAGAATGCCGAGTCATGCTGTGGCCCATGGGAAGAAACCACAAAGCCCCATTGGATCTAAACCTCCGGCTTCTAATCAAGGGCCAGTTCTGGTGCAGAGGACAGTGTGTCCTGGCAGAAAGAGCATGGTCCTAGGCGAGGGGCTGGGTGGTCAGATTCAGGCCCGTCCACACTCCAGGACAGAACCAGGGGTGATGGTGGGGTGGCTGTGAGGGCCAGCTCGGCTGGTGGAGGAGCTGCAGCCTCTGGCTAACTGGCTGCTACTTCCACAGGTGGGAAGACGTGCCCAAGGCCAGGGACTGGCCAGGTAGGAAGCCCCAGCCCCGTGCCTGGTGGTCAGATTCCCTGTGGGACTGCCACACACTGACACCTCAGTCCCACTGTGGTCTTCCAAACCCGGGTTCTCACTTTCACTGCAGCAGAAGGGCGTCTCCAACTCCCTCAAACATCCTTTTCTGTTTCTGGAGTCCTTGAACAAGTAGAGGCCCTTACCCTGGCTGCTCCCTTCTCCACCAGAGGCCTCCTCAACCCCCTCCTTCAGGATATACCTCCTCCACTGACCTTGAAGGGGACTCCTCTCTCCCTGCCCCAAACCGAACACCTCATTCCCGTGTGCAGCAGGGAAATAAAAAAGAACTTCACCTTCTTTATTTTATACATGATGCTTCTTTTAATGCAGCCAAAACATGGTATTTGCTTTTCTTGGAACCACAACTGATCAGGATGCAGTGACTAGTTCATTCCTTACAATACCTGGGCTCCTTAAGGGGCCAGAAGACACGTTACATCCAGCCCATCAGGGAGCCAGAGGCGGCACGGGCCCTCTGCCAAGCTCTGGTAGGCCTGCCACGAGGCAGGGTCTGGCCGTGCAGCCAGAGGCTGGGAGAGGCAGACAGAGGCAGTTGGTCTCTCAGTCTTGTAAATTGGAGACCCAGGGCCGCTCATCAAGCTCATCAGGCAAGGGCAGTCCATCTGCATGCCTGGTGGATTCTAATGGCTTCCAGGGTAGAGAAGGACACGTGCAGGGGTTCGTGACAATCATCACCTTCGCACCTGCCCTGGGCCAGGGACACCCTGGGTCTGGGGCTTCTTCCAGTGCTGGGGGGAGGCCCCTGGAGCATGCCAGTCCCCTTCCACCCCCTCTAAGAGACAAGAGGGAGAGGTGGTGTAATACTGTTTAAAATACATTTCTCATTTACAAATGCATCAGAGGAAAGATGTGGGCACCCTTTTTTTCCAGTTTGCAAGCAGGGGGCCAAGACATGTGAGCATTCACCACGTGGCCGGGATGAGGGGTCAGGGTGACTCCTGCACAGGTCACCTTCCCCCAGCGCCCCTCCACGGTCAGTGCGTTTGCCTGCCAGGCCCAGCTCCCACCTGCCTACCCACACCCCCTGCTGGACTGGGGGCTGGGGGAGGGGTGTCACTGCCGATTTCGGCTGCCCAGCTTCCTGCGGTCCTTATTCTGACTGCGCTGAGGGTCATCCATCTTGTGCACGCGGAAACATTCCTTGAGGTTTTGGGACCGAATCTTGGGATTCAAGATCTCCTCAGTCATGTTGCTGGGGAACCAGCCTCTCTCCTGGTCATGCAGACGCTCACCAAAGATCCACCCTGCACAGGGAGGGGGAGGGTCAGGAGCTCCTACAGGGGTCTGGCTGAGCCCTCCTGCTGGCACAGGAGCCCAGTGGGCCTTCCCAGAGGAGCCTGCTCGGAGAGCCCCTGCCGGAGACCCTCAGATTGGGTTTGCCTCCCATATTCTGGGGAGGCACCGCCCTGACACCCTCCTAGGGAGCACAGTATGTGGGTATCGCTGTGACGGAACCAGCTAGCTCTGTGCCACAGTGTGTCCCAAATGTATTGCCTTTGGAACCCATTCCCAAGCACTCAGTCATCCTAAGCTGTCCCACATGAGGCAGGGGTCCCCAAGGGCTTTCCCCAAAGCAAGAGGCATCCCAGTGGCTGGTGGGGGTGATGACTCATTGGTGGTTCCCGGGCCTGGAATGTCACATCGCCCTCTTGCTTGGCATTCCTCTCTGAGCCTCCCGAGGGTTGGGTGGTCAGCTGAGGATGGCTGTCATGAACTGGCCAACCCCAGCACAGGGCCCTGGCTGTCCCCCTCCCCCAGAGGTCACCTGCAGGACGGGGTTCCTGGCAGGTCCCAGAGCAGGACAAGGACCTGGGCTCTGAGGGCCTGGCGCTCACCCTCTGCAGGCCATGTGGGAAGGATGTTGGGCTGTTTTATTCTGGGGGAGGGGTGGAGGGAAACACTGCTCTTTCAGTGCCAGGTGAGGCCCTGGAGTTTGGGACCAGCAGCAATCCCCTAGAGGTCACCAGCCCGAGGCCTTCTAGCCAGGACCTCAAAGGGGAGGAGGAGTTGGGGGAGGGGAGATGCTCCGTGCCGTTTGGGGGATTCTGATGAAGAACAACTGATGTAGCAATAAGGGATCAGTTTTTCAGGGGTGGGGAGTGAACCTCATTTGGTGCTGACACCGTCGGCAGGGCTGGGTGGGAGCTGGGTGGGTGGCTTCTTGGCCCACACAGGGCTCTGAGCCTGGTGGTTAGGGCTCACCTGGAAGCTTGTGGCAAATATGGAGTTTAGAGTTAGGGTCACAGGTAGGGTGAGGGTGGTGGGCCAAGCCCAGGGCCATCGAGGGGAAGGCGCAGAACCGGTGCTCAGACTGGGCCTGGTGTGAAGGGGAGGCGGACCTCGTGGGTTGGGGGAAGGAGAGCAGAGGCCCTGGGAGAAGCACCTTCTCTGGGCTGAGGAAAAGCTGGGGAAGCCAGGATGGGCAGAGCGGTCTAGGGGAGCAGAGACGTGCCAGGTCCTGGGCTCGCCTACCCATCCGCCAGCTTCTCCACCTGGGGCTGGTGCCAGCTGGGTGCAGAGTCCTGGGTGCACGAGTGAGTGACACGCCCAGCCCCTGCCTTACCGTCTTCCGTCTTGTCCAGGATGTTAAGGATGTCCGCCAGCTCCAGTGTCAGCTCATCTGGCTGCTGGGCCACGTACGGGTGCACGCACTGGACCTGGGGGCAGTCTGAAGGGAGGGAGAGAGGTGGCACATCCTCCTCATCCATCACCGCCCTGCCCCACCCAGCAAACCCTGGACATGGCCCTGCAGTTAGTAGGGACACACTGCCCTGCAGTTAGTAGGGACACACTGCCCTGCAGTTAGTAGGGATGTGCTGCCTGTCTTGCAGCAACTGAAGAGAAGTCACTTGAGGGAGGAGGCTTGGCTCCAAAGAAAATGAGAGGAAAATAGCTGGGACTCGGATAAAACATTACACCCATAAAGGGTTGAACAGGAGGTGAGGGCTCCTATTTGAGGCTTCAGAAGGACCTTCTTGAGCTTGGACCAGGCCCTGGGAGCAAGTGTGGGATGCTCAGGACACGGTGGACACTGTCAGACAGGCAGCTGCTGACAGGCAGCTGGACTGGGGCCCTTTTGCATTTTGCATGGTTTTCAGACAACTGGCAACCCCAAAGAACACTGGCGTCTGCCTTCTGGGCCCAGACTCCTCTGGTTTCCAAGTGACACTCCTTCAGTCACCATCCAGTGTCTGCAGGGATCAGCACACTGATACCCCCATTGGGCACTAAGCTAGCAGCTGGCACTTGGGACCATCGCCAGTCAAAGTGGGCATCCTAGAGGCCACACAGGCCTCTGGGAAGATGGGCTCGGGAAGCATCTGGGGCTGATGCCACGGAGGCCTCCCCTGTCCTGCCCAGAGGTGTCCTGGTCCCAGAGGGCCACTTACCCAGCAGCCGGGACGTGAAGGAAACAAACTTCGTTCTCCGGTTGGGGGCCAGGGAGGTCATCCAGCGCTTCATCTCACTCCTGGGACAGGGAAGAGGACAAATGCCCAACCGCAGAGCAATGGCCCCCACAGAGGTGTGGCGTCAAGTGTCCAACAAGCCTGCTACTCAGTCCTGAGCCTGGCTCAGGGCTCCAGCAGGACAGGTGCCCAGAAATCAGCGAGAGGCTGGGGAGCCTGACAGAATCTCCCCCGTGCACTTTACAAAGTCAGTTGGTGAAGGTGAGCCTTGTGCAAACCCCAAAGTTAACCCATGAAAGCGCGCTCGGCAGGGGTCAGCTGCCCAGAAGCCATGACCTGTCAGCAGTGTCAGTTGTGCGGGGGGGAGAGGGGGGGAATTGGAACAAAGAAGGTGAAGGGATTTGCCAAGAGCGGGGTGGGGGTAGGTGGAGGTGGGCCAAGGGGGGTGGGGACGGAAGAGACTGTGCTGGGTGGTGGGAGCACGATGCAGTGTGCAGATGTTTTGTTGAATTGTAACACTTGAGACCTGTATGGTTTTGCAAACCAATGTCATCCCAATAAATTTTTAAAAACCTGTCAGCTGGGGAGGGCCAATGTCATGCGGTGGGGACTGGACCTAGATGGACAGGGTGGCACCTGTGAGTCTGGGGGTGAGAGGGTGTCTCCCCACATTGATCTTGGCTGTACCTCTCAGAGCCCTGGGCTGCAGGGCAAGTAGCCTGGCTGCTCAGAGAGGCGATGAAATGGGCCCCAGGCCACACAAGGATAGTTCGCTGGTCAGCCAGGCCCAAGGGTTCTACAACATCTCATTGGAAAAGAGGGCCCGCCCCCCATCTGAGGCCCTGAGGGAACACACGTGTGTGTACACACACACACACACACACACACACAGCAATATGCTACACCTACTAACCCCGGACAGAAACGCTCACCACAGGTCTGGGGGTGGGAGGAACGGGAACTGGGCGGGCCAAGTGCTGAGCCCTGGAGCCTTGCTCCACCTGGGATGGTGACACGAGTGGGCACTCACTGAGAGGACGCCTTCAGCATGTAGGTGGCCTCCCGGTCGTCTGCGTTCTCGAGCAGCCGCAGAATGAACACGTTGGCCAGCGTCTGGCCCTGGTCCTCGAGCTCCTCCACGCGGAGCAGGCCTCGAGGGGCCGAGTCAAACACCTGGTACTTGTCTCTGGGGACCAAGGGTGGCAGGCGGGCATGTAGGTCCCGGGGAAGCCTAGGGGTCCCAGGGGACACCTCACCCTGGCCCCCAGGAGGACCAGCCCCACCATTGCCACTCCTCACCCCCATCTCCAGGAGGCCCCACCAGAACTCTTTTTTTCCTGCCTCAAACCACCCCTCCCATGGTGTGGCTGGGGGACCGGACAACACCACAGCAGCTGCTCTGTTGAGCACTCACTGTGTGTCAGGCGCTGAGCTGGCCTCTCCATATCCCTGTAAAAGCCTCATTCAACAGGAGGGGGATCTGAGCCCAGGAGTTTTAAATTAACTTGCCCAAAGGCCCAAGGCTCAACAAGAACAGAGCTGACCTTAAACCTGACTGAAAGCCTGAGCCTATGCACATCCTGCCGGCCTCCCCAGGCCATAGGGAACCATCTCCCCGGGTGCCCTCCCTGGGCTGCCCCCACAGCATGCTCACCCTCCCCGACCCCAGTGCCCGGTAGCAGTGCCCGGCGCTCACCCAGGGATCTGCCGGCAGATCACCAGCAGGTCGTTGAAGAGGAAGAGGTAAATTTCCTGGAAGAGCTTCTTGGTCCGCAGGGTTCGGGAGGTCTTGGGGCCGGACATCTGCTGCAGCTCGCCCTGCTTCAGCAGCCAGCGGGAGTGGGAGATGATGGGCACCGACTGCGCGAGGGGGGGCGGAGTCAGACGGCTGTGCCCACGCCTGCCCGAGGCTCCCCCAGGGCCCTCACTGGGGTAATGAGCACGAGGAACAGCGTGCCAGGGCTGGGCTGGGCCCAGAGCACACGCAGTGCCAGTGGGAGGAAGGGGCGAGTCCTAGGCAAACGCGGGAGGGCAGGGTGTGTGTGTGGGTCTGTGTACATATGTACAGCTGTGTATGTGTTTGTGCCTGTGTGTGCAATTGTGAATTATCTGTTGCATACGTATCTGTGCATGCTTCTATATATGTGTGTTTGTGTCTAAGTGTATCTACGTGTAACTACTGGCTGAGGCTGGAGAGGGGATCACACACACACAGAGGTGCCCACATGAACACCTGTGTGTGTGTGTGTGTGTGTGTGTGTGTGTGTGTGTGTGAGCCCCTCACCAGCCTCTGCCAGTGCGATGCAGAATCAGAGTAGGGGCCAAGTTCAGAGGGAGAGGAGAGAACTGGGTTGTGTGAGGTCCAGGGGCAGGCTCCTGGCACCCGGCTCAGCCTGGCAGGTAAAGATATGTAGGGGTTCGCAAGGCCATGTCTGCATCCTCGACTGGGGCTCAGCCCCCAAACCCAGCACGACCTCAGGGACCCTTGGTGGGCACTGCATGTTCATGTGTCCACAGCACCAAAAATGCAGGCCCTGAGGTTCACTGATGCCTGAATCTTTACGCAAAGTTGGGGAGAAGGTTGGTAACTTCCCTCAGAATTTCAAACCTTCCAGCTTTAAGAATCCCTGGGCTGCTCCCTTTTAGGTACTTGGTGTAAATACACAGCCAGTATACGAGAGCAGGTGGCTGCAAGTTCCTTGCCCAACATCTCTCAGAAGACAGTCTATAGGCCAGTGATGGCGAACCTTTTGAGCTCGGCGTGTCAGCATTTTGAAAAACTCTAACTTAACTCTGGTGTCGTGTCACATATAGAAATTTTTTGATATTTGCAACCATAGTAAAACAAAGACTTATATTTTTGATATTTATTTTATATATTTAAATGCCATTTAACGAAGAAAAATCAACCAAAAAAATGAGTTCGCATGTCACCTCTGACACGCGTGTCATAGGTTCGCCATCACTGGTCTAGGCCCATGTGATGGCCTGCGACTAGGGGGCCGAGGGGTGCCCTCCAGTTAGGGGCTCAGGGACGGCTTCTGGGAGGTGACACTGCACTGAGACCAGCGGTGGCCAATTGAGGATTCTGGCCAGAGACCCAGGCTCCAGACCAACTGGGCTGGATGGGGACACGCGGATGGGTGAGGGCTCACCTTGATCTTAAACTCCATCTTCTTCTGGATGCTGATCATCTGCTCCGTGCGGCTCATTTTCCTGACGCCCTCGTTGCATGCTTTTACCACCTGGGATGTGAAGCAGGACACATCAGGGCCCCTGCAGCCCGCTGTCCCGGGTCACTTCCTGCTGGCCACTCAGGCCCCAGAGGGCTGAACAATCGCTGTGGTCAGACAGTGCGCCCACAGCTGAGACTGAGCGGCCAGTCTCAATCAGGCTGGAGCTCCCTTCTCTAGCACCTTCTGGGACAAAGGCAAAGTGGGAAAACTTGTCAGGCTGTTAGAAAGCAAATTTAAACAATAAGATGTCCTTAGTCATTTGTCAGACTGGAAAAGGCAGTCGGGGTGGAGAAGGAAGACAGCGTGCTCTCTGCGCAGGACACGCCTGACCCAGGGACTCTTCTGGATCCCAAAACCAAATACTAAATTAGTATGCATTTCCCAAAGACACGCCGGCATGCGAGGGAGCAGGAGCAGGGAGGCAGGAGTGGACGAGGAAGCAATTTACTGGGAAAAACAGAGAGAACGCATGCTCACCAGTTCCAGTTCCTTGTGGGCATCCAAGGCGGTGCATTCACGCTCAGACCTCTCCTCTACCCTCTTCAGGATGTTCTGAGCACAGGAGAGTCGGCATGAATTTTCATAACGGCCATTCCTCCCCTCTCCGCTCCCACCCTCCCTTTGCAGTGGTGGCCTCATTGCTGCACCAGTCCAAACAGCCTCTGGTTGCTGCGACACCCACACCCACGTACAAACAACCCTACCAGGTGACAATAGAGGGCAGAACCCTCAGCTGGGCCGAGGGCCGAGCATCCTGACTCAATGCCTTGCCTGGCTCTAAATTGGTAACCACAGGTCAGTCTCCTATGAGGACTAACCCTGAGGGCCAATCCAGAGCCTGACACCTCACTGCACAACAAACATCAAAGCGAAGGAGGCGACCAGGTGCTGGCGGGGAGGACAGGTCCAGCAGGGAGGGACCGGAGGTGATGCAGACCCGAGGGGAGCTCCATGCTCATGGCAGGCACCAGGGGCTTCCCTCCCCCTCCGCTGGGATTTGAAGCCAAGTCGCAATAACCCTAAAGCTTTCTTGACTTTGGTCTTATCGATCAAAATGTCTGTTTTCTAATTGTTAAATTCTCTTGAATTATCAAAAAATGATGCTCACGTCGCCTTTACCTATAGATTACAATTTTTGCTTTGCTCTCCAAACTTTGCATGGTTTCTGCCTCACAGTCCTGTGTCTATGGTTTTGGACCAGCTCGGTCCCCTGGGGAGGTTTGGGTGTGTCGGAGCACAGTCCTCTGCCAGCTGCCCCGTGCAATTGCTGTCCGAACAGCGCTGTTGACCACTCCGTTCCTTCAGACACCTGCACGGTGGCATGCCTTTTCGCCCTTCACACGATGCTCAGCCTCCCTCTGAGACCAGACCAGACCCAGATCCTTGCTGCCTCTGGCGTCTCTCAGCCACACCGCCACAGCCTCCTGTGTGGTCACCTGCCCAGCTCTGTCCGCAGCCAAGCCAGAGCCTGCAGTCATCCCAAGTGCTTCCTTGCACCCTCACCAACATGGGGCCACCAAACCTTGTCATTAATGGTCCCCCTGTGCCCAAGTCAGCATGGTTCAGGCCCCACCTTTTCCTCTGGAATAAAACTTCCACCCTGCACAGGGCCTCATGCTGAGGGTGGTGTGGCTTCTCAGCCAGGTGCACGGGACTTTCACACTAGCTTCCTCTCCGTTCCTTCTGGGCACGGTGTGTCCCAGCGCTGGGTCTCCGGGTCCCTTTCTGTCCTTCCTCGATGGTCTCACTCTTAAATGCCATCTCTGTGCTGAGAACTCCAGCCCCTACTTCTCCCTTTGACTCTAAACCTGAATATTCAACTGCTCAAAGTCATCTCAAGCTCAGCTATTTCAACATGAACCTGGGCCGCTCCCCAGACTGTCCTCCCCACCTCCGGAAGCTGCTCAAACTAGAAGATTCTTCTCTTCCTTCCTACTCCACAGAAGCAAGTCCCAGGCTCAATTCACTCGCTTCCCTCCAGGACCCTTCCACTCTCCACCCTCCATGCCAGCCATGCCATCCTCCTTTTTTTAATTGCTTCCTAGCCCCTTCTCCCATTTTCACTCCTGCCCTCCTGCCCATCACTCTCCTCATGGTGGCCTCTGTGTGCTCTTACAAATGTCAACTAGATCAGGTGAATCCCTGTCACGCTGAGGACAGAGCCCAATGTTTTACCTGGCCTCTTAGACCCCTTGCTGATTGGTCTCTGCCTACATCTCCACACTCACTCCCCTCATACTCCCCCAGCTTTTCACTGGCCTTCCTGTCTGTGCACCTGGCTGCCCCAGGGCCTTTGCATAAGCTGTTCTATCACTTGAATGGCTCCTGCCTGTCAGCCATCTCTCAGCTTAAATGTCACTCATTCGAGACTCTTTCCTGACCCTCCAATTGGCAGTGGCCAGGAAGGCACCCAATTATGTTACCCAGTTTCACTGTCCTCATCGCCATGACCACTTCCTGGTTGTGTGTTTGTTGATCTCTCCTCCCCAAGCTCCTTGGCACACAGTAGGAGTTTAATTAGGGTTTGTGGAACAGACTGAATGCCCGAAGGAAACAGGTGTGCGGCAGAAGTATACACAAGCCCCACCTGCCGGTCGGGTGGGAGAGGCAGTACCTGCACCAGAAGCTTGAGGCGTGTGATCCTCTGGAAAGGCAGGATGAGGAAGGAGGAGAGAGGCAGTCCCCTGCACTTGGGGTCGAGCTCCAGCTGCGCGATCAGTTCCCGAAAGGCCGCCTTCTCCTGGCTGGGGACACAGACACTGGAGTAAGTCTCTGGCTCCCCACCCACAGCCTCGTAGGAACCAGACAGCCCACGGGCATCAAACACCCGTTGCTTGATTTATTTATTTATTTTAATGTAAAATAGTGACTTCACATGCCTGGCCCACGAAGACTTGGCCGAATATGCTGCGTGTGGGAGGGCAAGTCTATGAATCAGATGCACAGTCGGATGGTTTACCCAGCAGGAACCTGTGGCAAGGTGAACCCACGTAGTGACAGAAACAGGCAGCAGCTGGAGGCCACTGCCAGGAACCTGTGCTCCTCCTGCAGGTGGAGGCACCTTGTCTGCAGAGGGGCTTGGCCCTGGGCCAGGTCCACAGCTGGCCTGCAGCTGACGAGGGCGCCAGGAAACTGCCGCTGGAGTTAGACTCAGGCCCTCTGGAGGGACATGGACCCTCTGCCTGGGGCTCAAGCCCAAACAGTCTGCACTTGCAGCCACACCAGTGTACCCGTGGGCATTGTGATACCTGGATTCCTGTCCTCCTGGAAGCCTGTCTTCTCACGTCGGTGCTCAAAGCTGGCTTCCGATTCCCTCCAATCCCAATTTCAAATCCCAAACATAACCCCCCCCCCAATACTCCAGCTTTAAAACATCCACAGTGGATGACAGGGTTTGACAGACAGGCCCAGGGAAGTAAGTGTGGCAATCACATGTCACTACCCAGCAAATTCTTGCATGCCCCATCTAAGAACACATCCCTGGTTACTCTGCCATGATGCCCGGCATAGAAATGCAAAGGATTCAAAAGAGGCCAGTTGAGCCCTAGCTGGTTTGGCTCAGTGGATAGAGCTTTGGCCTGCAGACTGAAGAGTCCTGGGTTCAATTCCGGTTTAGGGCACATGCCCGGCTTGCGGGCTTGATCCCCAGTGGGGGATGTGCAGCCGATCAATGATTGTCATCATTGATGTTTCCATCTCTTTCTCCCACTCCCTCCCTCTCTGAAATCAATAAAAAAAAATATATTTTTAAAAAGAGGCAAGTTGACTGAAAAAGTATTTTGTCAACTGAAATGCCAAGAAAATTTCCTAAATGGGTAGATTAGCAAGAAATTCAAGGGCGTTGCTGGGTAGCCACCAAAGAGACTTCCTCCTGCCCATCCTTGTTTTGTCTCTGGTTCAAATCACTTTCCTGCCATCCTGGCCTCAAGCTGTCCTCTTGGCCTCAAACTCCCTTTTCTACACCTCACAGAGCTCTGCACAGCTGGACAGAGGTCCAATGGGTACCATAGCTGGCCGTCTCAGGATCAATATTTCTCTAGTGACATGGATCCCCCCTGGAACACACCAGGCGTGGATACTATCCCGGGAAAGCCAAGGTCCAAGGGCCAGGGCTCCGTGTCCCCGTGAAGCGTGGCCCGCAGCCCGGCACACTCACAGCAGCTGCTTGTAGGTCCTCTCCTGGTAGGTCTGGTTGCTGACGTAAGTGATGTAGACCGAGAAGTGGTTGGCCGCATAATGGTACACGATGTCACACACGTCCGAGATGACAATGTTCTCCTCCATCCGGCGCTCCAGCTCCAGGAGGAACCTGCGGAAGGCAGCGGCTGTGGGTAAGGGCGCCTGGGTGGAGACTCAAAACACACCTTCGCCAGTGGGTCTCGCCCAGACAAACCAACAAGCACTACGAGATGAGATCCCAATGCCGGTGGTATAGCTGGTCACATCAAGGAATTACTGTCCAGTTTTTTAGGTGGAAATAGCATTAGGACTACAGTATTTTTGAGAGAGAGAGAGAGAGAGAGACCTTATCTTTTAGATGTATACTGATAGATTTACAGATGAAATGAAATGATGACAAGGATTTGTATCAGCCCAGATGGCATCACTCAGTGGTTGAGCGTCGACCTATGAACCAGGAGGTCATAGTTCAATTCCCGGTTAGGGCACATGCCTGGGTTGTGTGGGGTGTGCATGAAGCAGCCAATCAATGATTCTCTCTCATCACTGATGTTTCTATCTCTCTCTCCCCCTCCCTTCCTCTCTGAAATCAATAAAAAAACATTTTTTTAAGGATTTGTATCAGACAGATCCCATGGGTGTCATGCAGGGGTGGGGACGTGCTGAACTTAGATGCTGAAGCATGAGCTCGCTACACTGGTGTCTCTATTCCGCATGTTTGGAATTTTCCCTAATAAAATATAAATAAATACATAAATAAATAAAAAGACCCTTCTCCTTCCAGCGAGGGTGAAGCAGCTGAGGCCGAGGGCGTCTCACAGCTGCTCGGGCCTGGGGCTCTCGCCCTCCCAAGCCCAGGGCAAGCGGAAAGGCGAGGTGTCAGTGTTGGGCAGGGACCCATTCGGGGTCCACTGAGAGCCAGCAGCTCTGCCACACCTGATTTCACACCTGGACACTCGGGTTGGACCACATGATCCAAAGCTGAGTTCTGCACTTTTCTTGGTAAAAATCCATGGCCTACAGTGAAAATGCTAAGTGGCTCTTTTACCCTAACAATAGGATCGGAGTTCGTTCTTCTTTGCAGAAATCAGTTGGTAGATGTCTGCTCCTCCCCACTAAACATATCCCATCCTTCCTAGGGGCTGAGATATAACCACAGTTCTGGGAAACACTGCCACATGGGCAAACACCCTCCCACTGGTGAGGTGGAGGCACTAACCGAGGGCTGTGCTCCACACTGGCTCCGAGGGTCTAACCCCGCAGGCACCAGGCCAGGGCTTTATGACTCTATCAGGATAAAGATTAGCTTACACGGACACCCTGACCTGCCATGACACCAGCTGCACACCCTCCTGACTGTGGGATGCACGGACACTTGTGCTCACGGAAGAACCTACAGCCACAGTCCAGGGGGACGTGATTGACTGCCCTGCTAGGAGGAAGGGGGATCTTTGGATGAACATATTTATTCCTATCTTATCATAGAAAATTCCAAACCTACAGAAGTAGAGAAGCCCACATAAGGAGCACTGGCCACTTGCTCCAGCCGCCCCAGGCGAGAAGGCGGGATGCTCACCGTTGGCTGACGGCCATGACATCCAGGACGTTGGAGAAGAGGATGTGCGCCTCAGACGGGTGCAGGATCTTCTTCAGCCGCTCGTTCTCCATGAAGTGGGACACGAGCAGGTTCAGGCTTTTGTAGTAGGAAGCTTCAGAGGTGACCAGCTCGAACATGGCCTTCGTCAGGGACACGGAGGAGCAGACAAGAGGAGACAGTGGTGGGATTCAGCAAAGAAAAAACACCAACCAACCAACCAACCAACCAACCAACTAATCAACAAACCAACAAACATCTACACATATAAAAGGCTAATATAAGTGTCCGACCATCCAACCAGTCGCTATGATGCGCACTGACCACCAGGGGGCAGACGCTCAATGCAGGAGCTGCCGTGATGCACACTGGCCATTTACAGAGAAATGGCACCACGGACCTGGTGCCCACAAAGCAACACTCGGCTTCCCCCAAGTGGGACACAGGCCCCGCCACCACCCCGGAGCAACACCCCACCAAATCGCAGCCAATGCTGCTGAGAACCCATGGCACAAAATGCAGCCCACAGCCCAGCCCAGCCCGAAAATGGTTGCTGTGGGCGCCGGGTAATGATGTCACATAGCAATTCCTGGCTTCCTCTCCCTAGCGACTAGCCTCCTTGGAGTTTCTTCAGCCCAGGAACACAACTTGCTTTATAGCCAGGTGGAAACATTTTACACTTTAACCAAATGTCTGTGAAGCGTTTCCCTGTGCCTCATCTTATTTGATCCTCACAGAAGTCCTGGAGTAGGTATTTAGGAGACTCACTGGAATCCTATTTTCTTTTCATTAGCCGGAAAATGGAGATTTAGAAAGCTTAGAAACTTGACCCTACTGAAAAGAAGAAATGGTGGACCTTGAAAATGACTTCAGGTTTTCTCACTGCACAGAGTATAGTCAAACACTGCTGCAGTTAAATATTTTACCCTTTGTTCTCCCTGCATGATCTACAATGATAATCTGCTTCATGTTGATATTTATGGCTGTGTTGCTGACAATCATCTGGAAGAGAAGCTGGGGTGCTTCACTGGGCTGGAAAAAGTTTAGCTAAATCAGAAAGCAGGTCTAATTAAGCAAGTTTAGAGAGAGAGAGAAAGAGAGAGAGAGGGAGCTCTCGCTGGCACCAATCGCATGCATGTGTTTCCATCTGTCATTGTCGATTGTGAATTATAGAGCAAGGGTGAATAGTGATATTAAAATATTTCTTCTAATTAATTTCCTTTCAATGTGCACGAATTCGAGCACTGGGCCTCTAGTATCTATTTAAAACACATAGACACAGATAGCCAGAGGGAGAGAGGGTGAGGGGTAGGTGGAGGTGGGCAAAGGAGGGGAAAATGGGGCAGGAAAGAGACTGCTTTGGGCAATGGGCGCACAATGCAGTGTAAAGAGCAGTTTACTGAGTTGTACACTTGACACCTGCATTGTTTTGTGAACCAATGCCTCCCCAATAAATTCAACTTTTAGAAAAGAGGAGACAGTGGTTACCACTGCAGACTCGCGCTCAGGAGAGTGCCCACCTGGTTTTCAGACAGAGACCCAAAGGGGCTTGGAAGGGTCTCCAAAGGGAAAACCAGTGCTGATGCCCAGGGCGTGTGGAGGGAGGTGGGGAAGTCAGCCTCTGCCATCATCTCGGGGCGGCTACCAATCACAGACCCTGGGCCACCAGCAGCGGTGGGAGCCACCCCCGACCCCCCACCCCAGGTCCATGGCATCTCCTGCTGACCTGAGACAGTGACAGTAAGAGGAGGCGCTGAAGTGGGCCCTGGCCACGGAGGGCACAGCACGCTGGCTGCACTGACCGAGGAACTACGGGCCCAGCACTGAGCGAGGACCCACCCACCCTTCGCTCTGCCAGCATCCACCCAGGCCCTGCCCACCACAGGTCTCACTCCCTCAAGCACTGCCCGGCAAGACTGAGGCTAGATTGGCAGGAAGTTCCTTGAAGCTTCTCTGTCACTGATGCTGAAATCAAGTCACTTTCCTGCTGCTGCATTTAAGTTTCTTAAGAAAATGTCAAGGCAGCACAGTTCAGAAGTTCTAAGCAAGTATAATTTAAAAACAAACAAACAAACAAACAAACAAACAAACCCAGCCACTGATCTGGATGAGTGCTACCAATACCAGGAGCAGAAAAATCACCAGGTCTCAGATGCACACCTGCGGGGCTGGGCATGGAGACGCGGCCCCGGCTCAACTTCCCCCAGGTCCCGGGGGCCGAGGGCATCTTTGTCCTGAGGACAAAGGTTCAGGGACAGCTGGGCGGAGGCAAGTGGCCTTTCAGCCGCAGACACACAGAGAGGCTGGACCTGAATCACTGCTAACTGGTATTGGCTGAGCCCATTTCCCACAACACTCACCCCCTCTTTCTCTGTTTTTAGGCGGTTAGTCATCTGGAATTTGTTTTCCAGGGTGTTTGTCTTCATTTTATATGTCAAATTATTTGCCACATCAATAAAGTTGTTTTTTCCTTATCAGTATTATTTTTATTCTCAGTCATTCAAGACTTTCCCTGGCAGCATGGAGCTGACAGGGATCCAGGCCCTGTTCTTTCTTCATTCATTCATTCATTCATTCACTCACTCATTCACTCACTCACTCACTCACTCACTCATTCATCCATTTGTTGCACAAACATTTACTGAGCATTTACTGGGGTAGGTGCCGACATTCAGTGGTGAACACAGAGAACTTCCTGTCGCCACTGAAGCTGACACCCCAGGGGAGGGGGCAGGGCAGACAGGAGGACCATGCAGGGCAGGTGGAGAGCCGCTGTGGAGCAGCAGGAAGAGATGTGTGTGAGTGAGTGTGATGTGTGTCGCCTGCTACAGGGAAGCCCTCCTGGATGAAACCAGCACCTATGTCCCAGCCCCTCTTTCCCCACCATCAGGCTCACACCTCTCTGCTAGGCTCACACAGGATTGCTGTCCCCAGGGAACACTCAATTTGGCTGACCCGAATTTTACGAATCACGGCTGGGTCTCCCAGGGGCGCTCTTAGCACCCGACTATTCCTTTGGATGTCTGCCAGAAGTCACCCTGCTCCTGGCATGTTCCACCCCTGCGACCTCAGAGCCCACTCCCGTGTGGCGTCTTTGAGAAGGGTAGGGTCCTCAGTGTTAGTGGTCACAGGTCAACTCGGCCATTTCTTCAGAGGGGTCAGTCCAGCTCATTTGTAGTCAGCGAGCGCTGTGGCAGGCTTGGTGTCCACCATGGGCCTCAGAGCAGCAGAGTGTCCAAGGCCTTGGCCTTGGAGTTGGCCAGACCTCTGCTGGGAGTGGGAATCGCTTCGCCCGCTAAGCCGCGGTTCTCGGCGGGAAGTGCTCAGCCTGAAGCAGGCCCATCTCAAAGCACCTGCAGACCTGCAGGGTCACCATCCACCCCACCTCTGGGCGTTGCCTTCACAGGACCACAATTCATGGATGGTGCTCCAGCCAGAGGAGTCAGGGAGGGCCTGGCCCAGGATGTGACATGGGGGCTGCGTCCCAAACTTGGACAGGAAGGCCCGTTCCAGGGGCGCCCGTGCAGGGAAGGCGTGAGAGCTCCAGGAGGAGGTGGCGAGTGAGGCGGTGGGGCTGGCCCCAGGCCACTGGAAGGTGTCAAGTGGGGAACAACAGGCTGCCGGTAACATGTTGAGTAACATGTTGAGCCCCTGCCCTCTCACGGTCAGTGGCGTGGGCCGGAAACACAGCCTTGTGTCCACAAGGCCGCGGAGGCTGCTGCCATGAGCTCTGAGGCCATGCCCGTCCCTCCATAGGCCTCCCCTGCCACATTCGGGAGGCCCTAGAACACATTTTTCTCAGTAAATTTAGATTTCCCTCCAAAGGAAGGAAACAGCACATCAGAGAAATCACTGGCGCTCAGCTGGGACCCTCACCGCAGTCTCAGAGGAGCTGCAGGGTGAGCTCAGGCAGGGAGCGTCCCCCTTCTCGGGGACTGCAGACCCGGCTGGCACCACAGCAGCTGCCCAGAGACACCACAGGTGTGCAGAGCTCCCCCCCCCCCCCCCCCCCCCCCACACACACACACAAGGAGCACAGTACTGGGGTCCGCTTGCGGTTCAGAGACCTCAGGCAGCCTCAGGACTGGAGTGGCCCAGAGCTAGTCCACCTGGGCGACCCCTTGGAGCAAAGCATTTAAAGAAGCAAAGGAGCCCTGGCCGGTTTGGCTCAGTGAATAGAGCGTCGGCCTGCAGACCGAAGGGTCCCGGGTTTGATTCCAGTCAAGGGCACATGCCTGGGTTGCAGGCTCAGTCCCCACTAGGGGGCATGCAGGAGGCGGCCGATCCATGATTCTCTCTCCCTCTCCCTTCCTCTCTGAGATCAATAAAAATATATTTAAAAAAAAAAAAAAAGAAGCAAAGGAGACCTCCGCCTACCAGCAAGGGGGATGAAAGAGGAAGCGGGGATGGTGAGACAGCCTAGAGGAAAATAACCTGCTTCTGATCCAGGAGGACCGACCACCAGCCCCAAAGCACAGCACTGGTCCTTAGGAACTCAGCTGACTGACCCAGAACTGCCTGTGATCTGACACACTTCAGCTGTGTTGTATTTCTCCGTGTGCCCTAGGTCCTCATGTCGGGCCAGGCAAGCTCACCTTACCGATCCTTCACACCTGCTCCAACATCCCCATTGGTACTGCCCAGTCCCTCCTCCCGCCAGCATCGCAAACTCAAAGCTGGACAATGCTCACCTCCATAGCTCAGGATTCTCTGGGGACCCCCACGTGGTGCTTTCCTCACATATGTGGCCAATAGTCATTCACACCCCACAGGCAGAGACGGGCAGAGATGACTCCCGGCTTGTGCCCGACCCTCCGCAGTGAGCTCTAATCCTCAAAGGAAATGCAAGGAGGTCAGGGCTGAATGAGCCCCTGGGGCCCCGGCTGTCACATGGGTGACAACTAACTGCTGGCACTGCTGTGGGACTAGGGATCATATGTTAAAGGTAAGCCACACATGCACACCACACACCACCAGCCGCCCAAACCCAAGCCTTAGCAAGCTCCCACAACCGAGCGCCAACTCTTATGTTTGCTCAAGGTGATCTAGTTAATAAGTTACAAAAAAGTACAGAGTGAAAAGTTTAAGTTTTAAAAGACACAGGTTTGCACAGTAGAAGTGCGAGTTAAAAGCACAAGATACCATCTACGACTCACACATTGGTCATGATAAACTCCTTAGATAATAGTATAGGGAACCAGCACCCTCATACACGGCTAAAGTGTGAAGATAATTTGGCAGTATCTTCTCAAAAATTGAAAAACATGTAATCTTTAAGCCAACAATTCCACTTAGCAATTCCCATTGTATAAATCTCAGCATTTTATTGCTATAAATAATGCTGCAACGAACACTAACTGTGATTGTCCAGCAACATCATAAACCATGGAGCCTCATAGAGCTACCGAGAGACAGAGAAGACGAGGGAGGAGGAGGAAGAGGGGAGGAGGAGCGGAGAGAAAAAAGAGTGGGTCCACTACTTGGGCTTATATGGAAAGAGAACGCTGTACGTAGTATTTCACCATTTGTGTGCACGTGCTCAGGCCCTGACCAGGGTGGGGGCGGGGAGGCTCCCCTTCACTATAAATCTGTTTGCTCTTTTTGAACTTTATATCAGGTGCATAAATTACTTACCCAAAGGATTCACCTTAAAAATGATAAATGCTAACACTGTCACTTTGTTAAATTGTCTCTGCCTGGGAAAGTCACAGGTGCTTGCTTCCTAGTCAAACAGCACAGGAGCTCGCTGGGGTTCGGGGTGATGGCTACTGTCCACCTTAAGGTGCAAACACCCCTGTTCCCTCCCAGTGTGGGATTAAAACGCTGAATTGTCCCAAAGAGACAAGTATATGATTCAGTGAGGGTTGCTAAATAAAATAACAATCACAATGTAATTTTTTGATGAAAACCCTCAGTAACTTCCCTCTAAAATGGATAGTTTTCTTTTGAAAAAAAAAATACATTTAAGTTCTACGCTGTGAAAATAAGTTGACAAACAATGAAAACGCAGCCCTGATGTCAGAGGCCACTGGGACTGACTGTGAATTGTACCCTAACTGGCTAGCTCCCCTGGGGAGACCCACACAGGGCGCCACTGGGTCTCCTCCCTTCCGGTTCCTACCAGGGCGAAGCTGGAAGTCTGGGCATGTTGGGGCTGTGCTGCCACAGTGCCAGCTGGGCAGGATGCCCCGCATGAGTGTATGTGTGTCCGTGTTTCCTTGGAGACACTCAAAATATTCCCTGCTCACTTTTCAAACTCTGCACACCCAGCTCCCCAAGCTCAGGGACCGTGGCGAGCTGTCCAGTGTGGGTGAAGATGCACCTCAAATGAGAATGCCTGTTGGAACTGAACCCGATGGGCAACTGGGACCAGGAAAGATGTGACCTAAGGCAGTGTTCGGCAAACTGCGGCTCGCGAGCCACATGCGGCTCTTTGGCCCCTTGAGTGTGGCTCTTCCACAAAATACCGACTTCTGCGCATGGGCCACGAAGTTTCAATCGCACTGTAAGTGCGCGCCCGCACGTGGTATTTTGTGGAAGAGCCACACTCAAGGGGCCAAAGAGCCGCATGTGGCTCGGGAGCCTCAGTTTGCCGACCACTGACCTAAGGGATACCGTGCAGCCCGAGCCCTTGCCTCCCTGTTTGGTCACTACCTTGAAACAACCTATGATATGAGCTACAGCAACAAAATGCCACTTTGAACCCACAAATTTAATGAGAGCCTCGCTGGTTCCCAGGACATCAACCTGAGCTGGGTCCTCCCTGATACAATTGCACAGGACAGTCCGCTTATACGAGCAGGTATTCAGAACTCTGTGTGTGTTATACCCACCCGTGTCGGTCGGGGGCTAGGACTCCAAGGGAGAAAAAGATGCTTCGTTTTTCGGAGCAGAACACAGGAGGGAGCACATTCTAAGCACAACCGAGAAGTCTCTCTCTGTCTCTCCCTCTCCCTTCCAGTCTCTCCAAAAACCAATGGAAAAATGTCCTTGGGTGAGGATTAACAAAAAAATTAAATTAAATTAAATTAAAAATAAATGAAGTGATACGTTTGACAATATAAAAGGATCCATCGTCCCTTGTGGTAACTTTCCTTGCCCTGAATCCTACGCTGTCTGATAATACAGCGGGTTCAGTTTTCCAACCAATTGGAGAGCCTCTGTCCTTCAGTGGAGGAGTCAGGCAATCCACATGGATTGCTGTCCCTCACACCTTTGCCATGAACTCTGCCACCTTCTCTTGTGCTGTTTGGTTTTGTGCTTCTCCCCCGTTTGCTTTCCTTTATTGCCAGGGCCCTGCTTTCTCTACATTTAGCTTTGCGCATGTGGTAGGCGGTTTATATCCTATTTTAAGTTCTACTAGGATTTATCTCTAAGTTTTCCAAAATATTAAAAACCTTCACTTCTCAAATTATCAAGGTAAAAAAGAATTATCTCCCCTCCCCAACACACAGCCGGTCTCTTTTCCTTGCTCTGAGGATTAAAGGGGGGAGAAAATGGCCCCAGGTTGGTAATATGGAGTGAAAGAAACCAAAAGCAAAATTGTGTTGTATAATTCCTTCAACAAGAAAGTCGGGGACAGTGGCCTGCCTGTGGCTGACGTAGCCCTTGGGTCTCCTGGGGAGGAGGGACGGTCACACGGAGGGGTTCCTCCGTCTCCCCCGGCACCTTACACCTAGCTGCTTCCGTGGGCAAAGTTTGGTGGGCTCTCCTCTGTCCGGCTCCTCCTGCCTCAGTGGAAGGCCTCTGATGACGAGACATCATGTACATCCGAAGGTGCATATAAAACTCTCGATGCAGCCATTTACAAATCCCTGCTCACGGCCCCAGGGATGTCACAGTTCAAACCAGTTTCTCCTGATTGCGCTGTACAGGATGCAGGTGGACCGTGGGCGCCCTTCATCAATCAGCTTCATCAAGCTTTCCCAGGGAGCGGATGCGTGGAGCAACCGGTCTGAGTTAGGCAGCCCTGGGCAGGAAGACTCTCAGGCCGGGTCACTAACTGTGTGCCTAGTTTGTAGTTCGCCTTTTAAATAAAGGAGAAGAGCAAACGTGTCTACAGAATCTGGCGCAAGAGTAAGCAACGGGTCAGAGAAGGCAGAAGATGTGGTGTCAGGACCGCAACCAGCAACAAACAACAGGTTCAAGTGCAGCTTTAAGGAGTAGGTGAGTG